TCCACTGGACGCGGCAGTCCAGTCAGGGATAAGTGAGGCAGACTATGTTTAGGGCACCTTTTCTAGCCCCCTCCCCGTGTGGGGTGAGCAGAGTGGGTCCTAAAAAGGGCTGCTCAGTCGCGGATACAGCTGCCGAACTACTCAACTGCCTCGGACCTTGAGGTAGAACGACTGAGTCCGTACCCACCGCCCATGTGCCAGTCTGTGACTAGGGGCTTCCAGATTTCACAGTCCTGCCCCCGTCGCCACTCGCTGATCGCCATGGGACTTTGGTTGGTTTGTTTTTATTTTCTTTGGAAGACGCCTGTGCGTGGGTTTTTTTAATGTGTGGAGGTCAGTGCACAACTGATCAACACACAGACTTCACAGAGTGAGGTTCCACTGGTGAAAGAACTATTCCATAAACCCAAGAGATAAAGGAGAACTTTAGCACTTTCATACTGGTAAGCATATGGATCAACACAACTGTGATGGCAGAATAACTTGCAGCAGAAACTTTGCTATATCTTTGATGGAATATGCAGGCAATCATGCTACAACTGCTATAAGATGGTAATTCCCATCATCTTCCACAATTGATAGGGATGGCTACAATTGATGGGAGGTGTAGTCTGACAACAGTTGCACAGGCTTATTCCTCACCCTTGCCTTACATAAGAGAAAACGATCAAAAGGAGAACTATACATAATAAGAACAGTGTCTTGTACACAGGTAGGACTCATGTGACTCTTCAGATGTTGAACTTGAAGCTATGATAGTCAATAGTGAGGAAAGAAGACATTCCAGTAGTATCTAGCGCAGGCATGCACAAACTTCAGCTCTCCAGGTGTTTTGGACTTCAACTCCCAGAAATCCCAGCCAGCTTAACTGGCTATAAGGAATTGTGGGAGTTGAAGTCTAAACACCCGGAGGGCTGAAGTTTGCCCATGCCTGATCTAGAGAATACTTGATTCCATAACTCGTCTTAAAACATCTTGAAGAGAAATAGAATTTATTATGGCTAAACTTTTGTAGAATGCTATCATGGCTGCTGGAATAATGCATTTTTCATTCCAGATTATCATTATCATTTTAAACATGAACATTGTTAACTTCATGTGCATGTATTCATATTAAAAAAGGATGGAACATGTGATACTAAAGCATAGAGTAAGTGTTAAACAGAAGCAGGACCGTAAAAATATAGATCAGGATTAAAGAACAGTTTGTGATACTACACATTTAAGGTAAGGTGGACATAAAACCTCCCATGCTGCAAATTTCCAGCCAACATATATTCAAATATACAATGGAAATGTGTGGTTCAATATAGTCCAGCCTAAAGTAATATTTGGTGTAATTTATGAAACTTATGAAAACTTAGGCTTTTCAATTATGTTGTCTAGCCAGGTAGTATGTATGTATGTATATGATTTGTGACTGAGTGTGTGTGTGTGCACATGTATATATACACACACAGATATATATACATACATGCATAGAGAGACCGGGAGGAGGGAGACAGGTAAATGCATTTTAGTACGTATAACGGAAATATGAGATGCCTAGGCACCTCAGAGGTTTATAAAAGTACAGCAAGGAAGGTGAAAGAGATTATTGGTTCACTATTTCCCTATGATTTTAATATTTCTCTCTCTTTTTGTAGAATGTGGGTCTCGTGACAGTAACTACGACTCCCCTGAATTGTGGCCCCCGCCTCAGAGTATTGCTTGGTCGCCCAACAAATGAAAAGCTTCTTATGTTGCTGCCGGTTGGGTACCCCAGTAAAGATGCCACGGTGCCAGATTTAACACGGAAGCCACTCAATGACATCATGGTGGTTGTATAAACATGGGCCAGCTGAGAAAAGTATTCTCAAAGGAGCTCATTTTCCTTGAAAGTATTCATAGGACCCATATAAATATTTCTCAGTATATCCTCTAACCAAACACCTTTAAATTCATGAATGCCTATATCAGACAGAGAATTTAGAGACTTAGTTACATGCCATTGGTTCTGTTCCAGACTTTGGAAAAGTCTAGAGCTTTTGCTCCTCAAATCTCCCAAGCAGCATTAACTGTAATATCTAGGAGATTCTAGGAACTGAAATCCACACACACACACACACACACACACACCTTCTTAAGTTCTCTTAATGTCTTATGATGTTAATTAACTAGGCTGACATGTAGCATATACCACTGTATAGTTGAAGCTAAATGCAGCTCTTCAGAGAAGGTTGTAACATCCCTGAATTAATGCATGACCTATACACCCTTTAGCAACATTGTTTAGTGTGTATTTTGAGCAATCCATATCCTTGACACCTTCAAAGCACTAATAATGGCAACAGGTGCATTGGCTAATAAGAGTAAGCAATCAGAATAAAGTAAACTTGACTAGAGCAGATATTGATGAATAGGATTATTTATTCCAAGGGCAAACATGCCATGGCATTAAAATAGTCTTCATCACTTTAATTTCCACACTCAGTTCTGGTTGATATAATGACTCTTTCTCTATATTTGGATGTTTTTTTTATTTGAATCGTGTTTATGTGGTAAAATAGTACAGTTAGCTCCTTGTTATGTATGGCACTATCTCTAAATATAAATATTGATTTATATTTGTTTGGTGAATCACTTTCTCTGCCTTACATTCTGAATAGGGTTGAATATTTTCAGTTTACTAGTATCACTATGTGGTTTCAAAGAGCATGAAATTGAAGTATGGAAGTATAGATCTTTTTTCTCAATATTTCCCCCTTTAACTATCTTGGTTTGGCATCAACAGTCCTGATTAATCTTCTCTCATCTTTTTCCAGATGCTTTTAAAGTATCGCAATCTCTTTAGTCCTCCCAGTTTCTTCCTTTTGGCTTCTCCCAATTTCGTTTGCTAGAAACTGAGATCAAAGTGCAACAGCACCTCAATAAACATTACTAAATAGTAACAACAATTTTTTTAGAAAAAGAAACAAAATGTTCTGAAGATTGGTGGGAGGAAAGGCACAAAATCTCCCAAAATGGCTCTGGAAATCATTTTTAGATTTGAGTGTATAGTACACTATGGCCAACTTATCCTCAGACTTGATATTATATACATGTTTTCACTTACTTGTGCTCTAAAAATACCCCTCCCCTAGTATTTGTGGGCAGTGATACTTCAGTTCCTCCAGTGTAGTTCTTATGGTGTTTCTTCTGGCTCACCCATATCATAGAACAGAGAGGCCCAAGTATAGTCAACACATAGGGTTTGCTCTTATCTGTGGCTTCGGGTATCCATAGAGGGGCTTGGAACATATGCCCAATGTAAGAATTTTATTTATTTATTTATTTACTGCATTTCTATGCTGCCTTTCTCAGCCTGGAGGCAACACAAGGCAGTTTACATTGAGTCTCTATTATTCCTTCAAAGTAAACCATTACAGATAACAGCACACAGCACACAACAGATTACAATCCAAGCGCCAGAAGTTCATTGGGTTGTGCCCTCCCAGCACAGAAGGAAAGTGAATGTGAAATCCAATGTGGAGCTCTCCCAGCCCCAAGGTTCTTATACAGTTCTGATGGCAGATCATGTCTCTAACAGAAGAGGGGTTTGCTGGCAGGAGAGCAATTTTCTTCCTGCAGATACACTGTGACTTGCACACTACGTTTCCATTACTGAGCAAAGATTTAATTGTGGACCTCTACCATTTGATCTTTTAATTCTGATCAGAATAACCATGTGAGATTCCCATTTGAGCTTCATTGTTAATTGGAGATTCGAATTCGGGTCCTCCTTAGTTCTTAATCAGGAACTCTGTATCATGTTGAAGTAAACTGATTTTTGAATCAGGGTGTTCATAGCCTCACACTAATTCTGCCTTGAGACCTATACTAGGAGAAAGGCAATACATAACAAACATACACATCATTCATGTCCAATCTCTTCTAAACTCAGTATTTACACTATAAAAGTAGAGTGTGGAAATGTTACTTCGGGAGTTTCCAGTTCCCTGAACCCTCCATGTTTTGGACAGCTGTAGCCTAAAAAGGTACAAAACCCACCCGCCTCAGCTTTGGGTGGGTTGAAATAGCTTTCATGTGCTTTTGACTGGATGGTGCTATCAGAACAACATACAGGCTGAGAATGACTCAAAGAGTTTTCATTGAAGGCATTAAGGAAGGAAATGCCAACTGAGTGCAGGTAATCCATCATATTATTCAGCAGTGGCTTCTGTGACAAGTGGATTCTTTGGTTTAACTTTGCTGAAGGTCAGGATGTATTCAAGAAACAGGTAAGTAGTATAATACAGAGACACCATATTTAGAATACTGGCTTGCTTCTTTGAAGATACTTAGGAAGACCAGTTAGTTGAAAAATTAAGACTTTTGTTTAACAGTTACAGTAATGCTCTCCCTCACCCCAAACAAAATATAGATTATTTGGAAATCCTTTGAGCACAGAGGGAAGTCTGTGAATGGGACAAAGGATGTAAATGAATTATAGTCTAGTGGATTAAGTTTCATGTTGACTCCAACAGGAGAAAGTTTACAAGTTTATGCTTTATCTCCAATTGAAATCAGTGGAACTGATTTGCTTGTGTTGGACTTGATTAGAAGAAAAACTGTATTATTCACTTACAATTTTACATCTCCTATTTTACTAAGCTAGGAAAAATAGAAATCAGGAGATAGATAGATAGATAGATAGATAGATAGATAGATGATGATAGATAGATAGATAGATAGATAGATAGATAGATAGATAGATGATAGATAGATAGATAGATAGAGTCCCCCAAATAAGATAGGTAAGGAATCCCTATCTTTAAAAAGAGTTTAGCCAGGATGTACTGGCTAAACTTGGTCGGTCAGGATATGGTCGGTCATGATATAAGCAGTCGTATTTTACTTAAAATACCGTCTTTGCTACCTCGTTATACCAGAGCAACCATTTGTGAGAGAGATCACATTTGGCTCACACTCTAATTGGGATCAGAATTTCTGAACACCCTGCTTGTTGAAATAATAAAAGGAGTCTATCTGTACCTTCTCTCTAATTATCTACCATCAAATCTATCTATTCTATATCTAATCTTTCTTGCAGTGAAAAGGCTTAAGTCAGTGATGATACAGCTACCATTTTTCAAAACAGCAAAAACACATGTATGTGGAAACAGACACGTCAGATTTAAAAACACTGAATTACAAACAGTTTAAAACAGTAGTACTCAACCTTTTTTTTTTTTAACCAGGGACCACTTTGATCAGGGACCACTCTCCAACATTAGTACCAAAAGGGTTACAAATCAGTTTTTGGTCAACTTTAGATTCAGTTTGGTTATTTGGGGTGCTGATTCAGAAAATTGCATTGGATAGACTACATCAGTTCTAGTTTCTGATACAGAACATGTGCCATCCAGTAGTCGCCATCTGCTCACCCACAGAAAACCATATTTGGTCAGCCTTGGCACTATAAGAGGGTTTTGCGAGACCAGTTGCTCCCATTGCAAGGGTGTAGTAGTGGCGAAGCCACAGACCATATTTTAGTTCTTGCAGACCACTGGTGGTCCATGGACCACAGGTTGGGACCCACTGGTTTAAAACAACAGTTTAGGAAAAACCTATTTCACCTTCATTTAAAATCTATCCAAAAACCTCTTTGGCTGGATCTACACTGCCATATAATCCAGTTTCTGAATCTAGATTATCTGCTTTGAACTGGATTATACGAGTCTGTACTGCCATATGAAAAAATCTCAAGTATTTCCCTTTGAGTTATGAAGAAATTTGTAAATTTGGTTAAATGCTTCAAAAATCCAACCCCAAATTACCAATGGTCAGATCAAGTATATACCATGTTATATCTGCTAGGAAAATTTAGAGGTTCATACGCTGTACCCATGACGAGAAATGGGCATGTGGATGCCCACCTTTCCTACCCCACCTGTAATGTTTTCAGGTTGAGTTGCAAATGGGATTGCAAACATGCAAGAATAAATGTAGTTACAGTTTTCTCACAATATAAAACACTGTCAGGATTTGGATAGTGACTGTACCTATACAAATAATCACTTTTCACTGTGGTTATAATCTCTTTTTCACATTTCATCTTACCCTTCAGCCAAAACATCTCCCAGAAATAGGGAATTCCTGGGATGGACTATCTATGTTTAGCTCATGATCTTATGTTTCCATGGAGTAAACCTACCTCAGGTTTTCACATTGAATTTGGAAAGTTAAGGTCATGGTCTAGATTGGGAAGGTACTACAGGATAGTAACAGTATTTTCCAATGAGGCATTGATCAGTAATGATCAGGAGGCACGAGTGGAGGGTGAAAGAGTGAAACGTGCCAGGAGGAAGGTGCATCAAGCCAACCCCGACCGGGACCGCCTTCCACCTGGAAACCAATGCCCTCACTGCGGAAGAAGATGCAGAGCAAGAATAGGGCTCCACAGCCACATACGGACCCACAAGGAAATCCATAATGGAAGACCATCTTACTCGTCCAACGAGGGATCGCCTAAGTGATCAGTAGTGCCCAGGTGTTTTGGTCATGTTGCCATTTCTTCTGCCTTAGGGTAATAAAATGTGCATCATCTAAGGTGGCCATGACTCTGAATTCTCTCCTTCAAAAGTGCTTAGATATTAAACACAACAAGAGTCAAGAAGATTATGTAGAGGCATACAAAGCTCTGTCCTGCAACGAAAAACAAAGGGAGAGGGACAGCCCGCAAAGGAGAAAAAGGAAGGGAGTCCTTTTTTTTCTTAAGCACCAGCTGCTTGAAAAGATGTTGTTTCCTCAACTCTGCCTAACAGTAGAAGCAGTTCTGGGCCAAAATTATGGCCACATCATATAGAAGAAAGGCACCAAATACCCCAGATGCCCAACTATTTGAATATAGAAGTTGTCACACTAAGACATAAACGTCCTTTCACACAATCCCTCTTTTGTCATGGCTAATAATGCATTTTTGCTTTTATTCCCTCCTTGTTTGGGGCATAGCAAAGGAGACGCACGCTTTTGTCCAGGTTCACCTTTAGGCTCTGTTGTCATGGATACTCCTGCTGTGATGGATGAAGGAGAGCAGCCAAGCTTTCAATGCACCAAATATATTGGGGTGGTGGGGAGGGCAGGGATATGAAATCGCTGTGCATGTATTTTCCCCCTTAATCTATAAGAATAAACTCCATATAATCTTTGGACAAAAGGCAACCATTTTGGAAGGATTTCTGTAAGCAGGCATGAAAAGGAAAGCTCCTCGGGTGCCACATTTCTCTGTAGTGGTAATCCTCCTCTGTAATAGGCTTGCTGAAGAGGGGAGAATGCACAAATGCTGTGATAAGGAGACCTGGGTTTAAACTAAATATCTCTAACTAAAATAACAAGCATGACACAATTTCATAATACGCCTAGCTACAAGGAGCAAGGGGTATATACCATATTCGATTGAAACTATAATGATAAATGCCTCACCTTCCGTAACATTAATCATGGCAATGTAAAAACATATTTGCCATTCACAAAATAATCTTATTTTTACCTCTGCTGAAGAGATGAAGTTGATTTTTCCGTAATCTGATATATGTCTGATATAATTTACAGACAGGCAGCATACCCATGATTTTAGGTGA